GCCAGTGGCAGAGCCTGATCGAGGAGTCGGCGCGCCGGCCCAAGCCCCTCATCGACCCCGCCTGCATCACCTCCATCCAGCCGGGGGCCCCCAAGGTAGGCCGCAGACCCCCAGGTGGCCCCAGCCCCACAACCAACCTCCCTCTCTGGGGGGCTCCCCAGAGCCAGCACAGGCCTTACCACAGTGACATGCCTGGCCCTAGGCTGTGTCCTGTGCCTCTACCCCGCCATGACCCACGGCACCAGCCCCTAACTCTGAGACTGACCCCAGGGCCCCAGACCAGGAGTCCTGGCCACAGGGCAGTGCCTTACCTGCAGAGGAGGCACGCAGGGCTGTACAGGGCACAGTGTGGTCAGGAGCAGTGGGGGGCGCTGAGCAGCCTCAGTGAAGGAGGTGGTGGGTGCATGGCAAGAACCCTGGGTTTTAAGGGTTTTTTAATTTTGCATTTTTTTCTTGTCACCCTCATACAAAATGACAAGCGATGTGATTTGTTTCTGAGGCCCACCCCTGCCACGCCCCTGCCTGCCTCTGTGTGCCAGTGACCTGAGCTTGGGTGGGCACCGAGGCTGGGAAAGCGGCCCCAGAACAGGGACTTGGCCCCCAGGCCAGCCGGACCAGGAGGACTTTGGTCTGGGCCAAGTTGGCTATCTGTGGGCAGAGGTGGGTGTGGCCGTGCACTGGCCTGGTGCCCGGGGGTGGGCCTGCCGCTGACTCACCTCTCCCAGGCCTGCCTAGCAGGGAGGGGACACCAGTTAGCAGCTTTCCCCCCACAGTCTGTGGGAGGACGGACCTCACTTGACTATGCTAGAAATGGCTAGAAACCTCACAGTGGCTTTCGGAAAAGTGGCTGCCACCTCTGGGCGGGGAGGACCTACTGGTCCCTTCTGGCCCGTGCTCAGTGGGGTGGGCGAGTCACGCCCCATTCCAGGCACCTCTAAGCCCCCTGCTTAGCGGTCTCCTGCCCCTCCCCCCTCCCAGCAGGAGCCCGTGCCCTGATTTATACTAGCCCCCCCTGTCTGGGCACTTGCGTTTGCTACCTGTGGCCTGGAACTTCCTGGTCCTTGCAGACCCCAGACCACCGCTCCTCATCACTCTTCAGTCTGCTCACAGGCCCGCCTGGCCTGAGACCCAGCACTGGGGCCTGCTGGGCTGGCGGGAGCGTTGCTGTGAGGGCCATGTTCTCTACCACGCCGTGTCGTGTCCCCCCCCCACCACCACCCACAGCCTGTGCCCAGCCTGCCCTCTCTTGCTCCCTCTGAGCTCCTCCCTTAAACCTGATGCCGCACAGGGCCAGAAAGTGGACATAGTGGGTCCCACCCTCGTGACCTTGGCCATGGGGAGGGCCAGGCCATGGACTAGGTAGAGGTCTGAGAGGAAGCGGGGTGGTGCGGGAGGTCAGGGGCCAGTCAGCGTACAGGTGGCCTACAGGCCTTACTGAAGTGACTGGGGTGGGGGGCGGGAAGCAAGTACAGAGGCCCTGACGTGGAGGTTGAGGGGCCGGAGGGCAGGACAGTCGTGGAGACTTGGACTTGGGGAGAGGTGGCCGTGGCCTGGAGGGCGTGGTGGTTGTGACAGATGGGCTCTGCCTGGCCCCCATTGACACCTGCGTTTGCCCCCACTCCCACTCTGCCCCCTCCTTGGGGTTTGGGCCCGTGTCCCCACCCCTCCCCGCCCCCCATGCCAGCCTTCAGGGCAGATGAAGTGCCCCTGCTGCTGGCCTGCATGAAGTGCCAGGCCCTGCCCTGGTCCCCGGCAGCTGTGATTTCCATCTCTCCCCACTGATTAGAGACTAGGCTGGCCTCTCTTCTCCAGCCACAGCCGGGGTGGGGGCGGGGGGCGCCCGAGCGGGTTCACCCTCCCCCCACCTGCCCCACCCCCCCAGGCTGGCTTCTTGGCTGAGGAGGGGCTCCGTGCTCCCCCGGCCCCCTCATCACTCCATGGCATGTCTCCATCCGTCTCTGTGCTGTGTGTCCTGTCCCTCGTGTCCTCCTGTGTGCCCACCCCTGCCCTCCCCCACCCTGCTGCCCCGGACCCCAGACCATCGTGCGGGGTAGCAAAGGCGCCAAGGATGGGGCCCTCACACTGCTGCTGGACGAGTTCGAGGACATGTCGGTGACACGCTCCAACTCC